CAACGAGTTTTTTTGACAGCCCTAGTTCTCACGAGCCAGAGAGAGAGAGAGAGAGAGAGAGAGAGAGAGAGAGAGAGAGAGTCCTCTGTTTTAAATTGTGCGATTTGCCTGTTTTCACATGATGTGAAAATATTAGTGTACGAAAATACGCACGTAGAGCTACAAGCATAATTATCTCTCAATAATTTTTATACATGGTTATTAGATTGAGGTATTAATTTCAATAACCTATAACTCTAATAACTTTCATATGTTCTATTTCGATGTTATTCATAGATTATTATGTGAGTATTGCAAGACGCAAATATTTCTCTTTCACACGAAAATAGACTTCTTATAGCTGCTAAATCTACGATCGAAATCCTACAAGAAATTTGTCGTAGGAGCTTTTTGCGGTGATCGTGAACCTTTAAACGAGCAGAAAGCCCATAAAAAATTAATTATCGCATGGAATCTTTAGCCAATAATAATAATAATAGCTTGAAGAATACAGCAATCAACATCGCTAATCAGTAATCTTTTCCGGCATATTATGTGTAATATGTTGGCCCAAAACTGCAGCAAAATTTGATCTAACTTAAAGCTAGTTATGGCCATATTCATGGACAGGCACAATTGATAAAGATGGATCAGCATATCAGCACCCATCTTCATCCATTATTTGATTAATGGCTTTTCACTTTGACGACTAATTTAAAAAATTTACTTAATGTTATAAGCAGGGGGCAAGTAATTTTATCTGTAATTAAGGATTTTCTTAATGGAAAATTATGAATGATTGTGAATTTGATAAACTAATGAACAAACTGTTAGAAACCTTTTAGGCTGTAGAACCCATACTATTTGTGGATTCATACAAATTCGGAGAGATCTCGTGAAAGAGGTAGAAAATTGGTGAAAATTTCTGATTGTGTGTCTCTTTCTAAGTGGGGGTGAGAAAGAGATGAATGTGTGTCTCTTTCTAATTGGTGGTAAGAAAGAGAGGGGATGAGAGAGAGAGACAAAGAGAGCTTGAGGATCTTCACCCTTTTCCTTCCTATATATAACCTAGAATGTGTTTGCCCTCATAGGGACACAAATAATATATAAATGATGAGTTCTAGGTTGTGTTGCACGAAGACTCATCGTTGATGTGTTTCTAGGCGTGAATATCATGTAGTAAATAAATAGACTTGGATGATGATGGAGCAG